CATGACTAGATTCCAAGAAGAAAAGTGGAGAAGACGGGATTGCGGTGTGGCCATATGCACGGGTGGGGAATTTCTCACTTTCTTCCTTTCTGTCTGTCTCTCTCTGGCAAGTGCTCACACTCTAAGGCAAAAAACAAACAAACAAAGAAAACAAAACAAACAAAAAAATCCAAAAACAAACAACTAAAAAAATTATAAAAATTTAACTGTAAAATACACATAATTTCATATCAAGTACAGCAAAGATGATCTGATTTTGACCTTATATAAATGTAACATCATTTAAACTAAAGGGACCTGTTTGCTTATCTAAAGTTCATGTATAGCCACACACAGGATAATAAGGCATCGCGTCAACAGTTGCTGAGTAGAGAGAGTGTTACCATCAAAATCCGTATTTTTTCAAGTCCCTATGCACGAGTTCTCAGCCAAGGACATCGACGGGCACACGGTCTGCCTGGACAAGTACCGGTGTGTGCCTGGGGCGGGGGCTGCCGCCGACCCTGGCCTCGCGGGTGGGCTGGGCCACCCCAGGTCCTGACCGCCCCACCCTTCCAGGGGCTTCGTGTGCATCGTGACCAACGTGGCCTCGCAGTGAGGCAAGACGGACGTAAACTATACTCAGCTTGTCGACCTGCACGCCCGATATGCTGAGTGCGGTTTACGTATCCTGGCCTTCCCCTGCAACCAGTTCGGGCGGCAGGTGCGTGCGGCAGCCCCTGGGTGGGCGTGGGGTGGAGGCCTGAGACCAGGACCGGTCCAGTACCTGCACACCAGCCTGCACCCCTCTGGATGCCTCAGGAGCCAGGGAGTAACGCGGAGATCAAAGAGTTCGCGGCTGGCTACAACGTCAAGTTCGACATGTACAGCAAGATCTGCGTGAACGGGGACGACGCCCACCCGCTGTGGAAGTGGATGAAAGTCCAGCCCAAGGGGAGGGGCATGCTGGGAAAGTGCGTGGCCCTGGGCGGGTGGTCCTGGGCGCGGGCGGCCTCCGAGGGGCTGGGCGGCCTTTGGCGGTCTCACCTCTGTTCTTTGCGTTCCTTGCAGCGCGATCAAGTGGAACTTCACGAAGGTAAAGGGCTTGGCTTGGGGGTGGGGAGGGGCCTGTTTTCCTGGCCGCAGGAGGCCCAGCCCTGCCCTGCCCAATACCAGTGGCACTTGGGGACCTTCCTGTGTCTCCCGCAGTTTCTCATCGACAAGAACGGCTGTGTGGTGAAGCGCTACGGCCCCATGGAAGAGCCCCTGGTAGGTGCAGGTGGGCTTGGTGGGACTGGGAGGGGAGGGGTGGGGAGAGGCACCGCCCTGATGGCCCACCGCCCCTCCCGACAGGTGATAGAGAAGGACCTGCCCTGCTATCTCTAGCTCCACAAGTGTGCCCCCACCCAGAGCCCCCTGCCGCGCCCTGGCGCCTTCCACCGGCACCTATGACGGTCTGCCTGCAAACCAGCCTGCTGGTGGGGCAGACCCGAAATCCGGCGTGCACCCCGCCGAGGAAGGTCCCGCGGCTTGGCACCCCACCCCTGGCTGCCTTGTGGGAATAAAACCTACTAAAGTGCCTGTGGCTCCTCTTACCGTGGGGCGTGGGGTTGCACAGGGGCGCCCACGCTGGGTCAGGCGCCCTGGCCTGCTGGGATCTGGGTCCTCCCGTCCCTGGCTCCTAATCTCCAAGGGCCGGCTCCCGGGGAGATAAGCCTAAGAGGCTCTTTGGCCAGAGGCTGCACCACAGGAGGCAGTGTGTGGTTGCCCCTGGCCTCACACGTGGTCCAGGGTGTGTGGGTGCCCTAGGCCTGGAGGGGCTGGAAGGCCCTGGGCATGTGCAGGGAGGTGGAGTCCAGCTGCCTGGCGTCCCCAGGCCCCAGCAGTCCTCCTGGGACCGGGTGTGGGGGAGAGGGTTGCATCGGGACCCTAGGCCCCCACACAGTGACAGACAGCTGCTCCAAGATGCTGGGGCAGGGCCTTGTTTCCCAGCCTGGGGACCCTCCTCACCCACAGGACTCAGCAGGGTGAGGGGGCTGCCCTGGGCAGGTGCCCTCCAGGAGAAACTGTCCCCTCCACCCACCACTGTCCCGCAGTGGAGCAGCAGACACCCGAAGTAGGCAAAAGGCACATGTATTTAGAAAAGATTCTTTACATATGTACACCAGGGTCATAAATACGCTAGAAACAGACTGGGCGGGGAGGGGCAATAACTTAGGGGCAGAGGAGGGGTGGGAGATAATTGCATATATTACTGGGGGTCTGCCCCATGGAGCCCCCAAGATGGCAGGCCCTGAGCACCTGAGGCTTCCTGAGTTTCCAGCTCTCGGGACCACCCCGTTCCACGGATTTCAGGGGTTCAGGCCTGGGGAGCACTTGTAAGTTGGGTGGGGTGGAGCCAGGGACCCTTTGGCCCAGAGCAGTCCCCAGGGCCCCTGCTCAGGCATGGGCTGGGGAAAAGGAGAGGCACCGAGTCAGCCCCCACCCCAGGCCCTGCCTCGGATGGTCATCCTCAGTGGGGCCTGCAGCAGCCGAGGACCCAGGCAGGCGTTCTGTACTGACCTGCCAGGGCTTGGGGCCGGGAAGGCACTGCGGCGAGGCCTGGAGGCCCCTCATGTCGGCCAGCCCCACTCACCGCTGCCCAGTGGGGCGCTCAGACAGCTGGACCGGGCCAGACTGGACTGGGCGGATGGCGAGGTGCGGCCCAGGAGTTGGGGACGGGCTAGGAGTTGGGGAAGGGTGGGCTGAAGTGGATGACGCTCTGCCGCTCGGCCCCTGGCCCCACGCCGCCCCCCAGCGGACTCGGGGTGTCGTCGGGCGCAGCGTGCAGGGAGCGCAGCATGTCCTCCAGCACCTCCTTGAAGTTGATGTCGCAGCCCTGGTGCGCCAGCGCCGCGGGGTCGGCCGTGCGCACGCGGCGCACGCAGGCCTCCGGGACCTTGATGCCTGCGAGGAAGGGCGGTCAGGCGGGGCCGTGGGTGGCTGGCGGGGCAGGGAAGGCGGGCAGCGGGCCCTCACTCACCCACTTGCTTCTTCTTGTCCTTGGTCTTGAGGCGCACGATCTGTAGGTAGCTGCTGCTCCTGGCCTCCAGGCCCCGCCCCCAGGCCCCACACTAGCCCCGCCCACCTGGCCTGGGAGTGGGCAGGGCCCTGGGTGCCCTCACCAGGCGCTGTGGCTGCAGTGCGTCAGCGAGTATGCGTAGCCGCTCTCCCAGGGCTCCTTGGCCTCCTCTGGGGGCACCTGGGGACAAAGCAGCATGACATGGTCAGGGCCACCAGGGATTAGATGTGCCACGGCAGAAACTGAGGCACTGAGCAGCCCCATGCCTGAGCATCCTGGGAGGGCCCTTCGCGCCCCCTGGAGCCGGGAAGGGGCCCTGCCCTGGGGGACGGCTGCCGCCTACCCGGTGGAACTTGCGGCACAGGCTGTCCAAGGTCTCCAGCTGGCTCTGTCGGCCGATGTTGGGCTTGTACACGGTGAAGTGCTTGCCGCGGTTCTGCTCCGCCAAGAGGCAGCTGGGCTTGTTGCCCCGAACCTGGGCGGGTGGGCAGACCATCAGAGCAGGGCCCCAGGGCCGTGGCAGGAGTGGGGGCTCCGAGCGGGTGCCTGGGGTGCAGGCCCCACCCACCTTGTAGGAGAGGTAGAAGCCGCCGTAGGGGCCGGGCACCTCCCGGG